AGGATATCAGCTCCTATGATGGCACTCCCCATTTTCGGAGTAAAAAAAACATGGGTCTGGTGATGAAGGGTCCTAGGTTGGCCTCTCCTCCATGTTTAAAGATTATAAATTTCTCAATCTGGGTTGGATAAGCCCAGTTTCTAAAATATGGCGAGTTGGAAGACCCCCCATTTTCCCAAATCCGCCTATCCGCGCAGCAGAAAATGGCAGGGCCCACCCCCCAACGCCAGACTGCTATTTGGTGCATTCGCAGTCAAGTTTTCACAAGGCTAAAACTTTGATTTCTTCAGGTTTTTTGGCACGGGACGCCTGCCCCACATCCCAGGGCTTCCACAAGGGAGAGATGATACCGCTGGGCATCATGGAACACAGACTGGCATTGTTAGAGGGACCTCTTAAGTTTTGAAGGACCCCTTTGGGTTCCACATGGGCTTGCTTGTCCAGCCCATTCTGCCATTGCACCAGGGTTCCACTTGTTCTGCCAGTATTCCGCTGCAGGAGCCCGTCGGGCGAGGCAGTTGACCTGGTGAAGTGCAAGGCAGCATGCTTTCCAGCGCTTCAGTTGGGTCCCTGAAGCGAAAAGCGTTGAGGGGCTCTCAAGTTTCTCAAGATTGCTTTTGGGGCTTTTGCGGGCAGTAATTGTGAGCAGGTCACTTTACTCGAGCCAGCTGATCGTTTTTGTTCGGACCCTTAACCTGTCACATTTTGAGAACACATCGATATCCTGCGGAGGCTTCCTCCTGCTCACCCACCAGTTGTTTGGACCTTGGACTTGTTGAGGGCATGTGCGTCGCATTTACCAGCTTACACGTAAAGCTTCGAAACGCAACTCCATTCGACTTGAAGCTCTGTGCCTGGCTTTCGAGCTTTTGCCAAGCATCCTGATGGATCGCGTCAAAGAAATGCTTAAGTTTGCAACAACCTCACCCTGCGAGGATGCGTCGTAGAATTGTGCTTTACACATGTATTGCGCCTTGTTGGACCCAGGCGACCTCAAACTGTTGCATTGGTTCCCTTCAGCCTAGGTTTGCACAAGAGCCATAGCCATGGGAAGTCGGCGCAATCAATGACTCTGTTGACCCCACTCGACTATTGCTTTGGCACGCAGGCCCTTGCGCGGCAGCAGTGGAGCTTCGAGGGCAAGGGAGTGCTCAGCGGCCCAGCAGGCGACCTCTGTGTGGACAACATGCAGAGGAGACCGCGGTTGGGACGTGGGAGTTGAGAGGGTAGAGTCATGACTGGCAAGGTGAAGGATGATCAAGCAACCCCACGCTGGTGGTTTCATGCCCTTTTGTGACTGCGTTGGATGGAAAGCGGGCGGTGAAAAGCTTTTCCCAAACGATAGCGGAGAGGGAGGTCGTTTGTTTAACAAGACGGGTAGTTCTAGAACACTGAGAGGCATCAAAAAACAGGTGGGGATGAGATGTCACCTTTGTATTTGTTGATGGTCGGTCAGTTGGTTGGTGGTGCGGTCTGGTTTAGTGAGTGGTTTGATTGTTTGGTTTGGTTTGTTTGGTTTCTGTTGTCTGCGCCTGGCCTTTGCACCCGCACTGTCGCAGGACCTCTGGGCCCCCGGGACTCTACGGCTGCCATGGAGGCACCACCCAACAGCACCTCGGCCGACGGCTGGGCTGCAAGGTGCATGGGATTTGTTGTAAGACTATTGGTGAGGGTGTTCCAACCACACAAGACTCAGTCCCATATGAGCGCCCAAAGCGTACTTCCTGTACTACATTTGTGCTGAACAGTGGCGATTTTTGAGCCCTTTACGCACGTTGCTCATATGACTGCAACTGGGTGTCTTTCTTTGAGTATGGCTCGTTGGCTTGTTTAGGGCAGAACAACAGGACACGACCCCTTTGGGGGGTCCCCAATTTGGAGACAGTTTTCAGCAGCTTGGAGGAATATGCATATACTTCAGTTGTAGTGCTGCCCGTGTGGTGCTTTCGGTTTCACCAAGACATGCATATGTTTGAGCAAAGCGTTCTGGCGCAGGTGTCCTGCTGGGTGAGTTTGATTGAAAGTAGATGGCGCGTCAGTTTGGTGTTATTTGCATTTGCTAATAGAATTTATGTGTTTTTTTGTGTGTGTTTTTCCAAAGTGTGTTTAGGGTTGTACTGGCAACTGAGTTGCTTGCAGCCTGAGAGTAAAGAATCTGGTTGTCAGATGTGCGCAGACGCCATATTCTAGAAGCTTCCACTGAATTAGTTGGGGGGGGTTGAATCTGAGATCTACTGCACGCAAATTCCGATGTTGGTCAGGACGGGACAAGAATCAAGAATCGAATGTTTTGTGGTGGACTGTCAGCAATCCGAAATGTACTTTGCATAAGGGGAGTTGGTGAATGAGGACTGTCAGCGCTCTGGGAAGTGGTAACATGCCAGTTGTTTTGAGAGCAACTTAGATGCAGAAAGCATGCCTCAAACTTCCACAACCATGTCTCTTTAACCTAAATTCGCAAGCCTAGCCCCACCAAGAGCAAGGGTCCCCAAGGCTTAGACGACCCAGAAAGCGAACAGTCCCAGTCGCCTAGCTGAGTCGCCGAGGTGGATACTGGACCCAGATCACCGACTCCGGAGCGGAGGAGTGCCCGTGCATTCTCGCACAGAAAATGGCAAATTGTGAATAATTGTGAATACGCGGACAAGAGCAGCCACACACCAACAGAACACAACTTGCCTTCTTCCCATGCTGTGAATCGCATGCAAGTGCTGCAGCTGCTGCTGATGATGATGATGCTGATGGTGCTATGATGATGATGATGATGATGATGATGATGATGATGATGACGACGACGACGATGATGCTGATGATGATGAGCTTGAGCTTGCTGAACTCTGGCGTGATGTTTTCTCGTCATGCACGCCTTTTCCATAGATGCATGAGCCATGTTTGACAAGCAATCGATATTGGTCATCAACATTACCCCACCATGAGGGCAGGGTCGCAAATCACCTCCAGCCCACTTTGTGCATCAGTCTCCCAGAACAAGAGCGCGCCTTTGAGGAGTCTGCCTGGGGCCGGGGTGCCTAGACGGGCTTCTGTGAGGCCATGAGCCTTCAATATGCTGGCCATGCTGGAATCCTCATGGATCATGTGACTGCCCTGAAGAACACAGTACTCCATACAATTGTCCCAGGAGTTGTTGAAGCGAGATTTGGCAGAATCTGCATGCCGTCCTTAGCCGCAAGGGATACTCGAGGAGCCAACCACAGACTCCTGGGGTTGGGAGGGGATAGGCGTTAGTTGTCGAAGTTGTCGTGAACGATCACTGAAGCCACAAACGCAGTCGACAGCAATTTGTTCAGCAATTTGCTCAAGTTTCGAGGGTCTTGCTTGGTCCAGCCTAGCCCAGCATAGAGGTTCCCTGTTGTTGTATTATTCCTGGGCACCAGAGTTGCTTTGCTGGAGCATGCCAGGAATGCAGACTAGCTTGGGCCATTAAATCCTTGCAAGGGAAAATCGGTGTGACTGCGCATTCATCAACATGTGACCCCCTCCTCGGCGAAAAGACCCCCTGCTCAATCCGCCATTGAATTGAACCTCCCCATTGGGTCAACTTTTGGGTGGCATCTTGCATCTTTGCCATTGACAAACATGATGAACCAAGCAACTATTTCAATCCCAGGTGTGGGGTTGAAGGGAAGCCACGGGACATTTTGCGGCGCAAGGATCCAGCCCTCGGTGGCCATCGCGCCCTGCGTGCCGGAAGACGACGCCTTCGCTTGGCTGCGGCGCAGCACCACGCAGCACGACCGCCTAGGCGCGCGCGTGTTTATTTTGTTTTTGCCTAGCATTCCATGGCCCTGGAAACCGTACCTTGACTCCCCACCAGGTATGCAGACCTTCAGCCCTCGCAACAACCCTGAGCTGTGCCTTGGCGCTTGGGTCAGCTTGGGAGCTCGTGGTGGGTTTCGACATGGTTGGGACCCTTTTTCGGATTGCTTCAAAGGGATTCTTTCAGGGACACGGCCTGGTTTGAAAACAAAGCCTTGCAAATGATCCTGTTTTCTTGGAATGGACACAGAACGTCATCGATGTTGGTGCTTTGAGTGCCCAGGAGTTGCCTTGCCCTTGTGTTGCCTTTGGCCTTTAGCATTAGCTTTTACAATGAGCTCTGCTTTGGCATGCGCAATGTTGTTGTTTAGCCGTCGCCGTCAACGCGACGTGATGATACATATGTTCCCAAGAAAAGAACCAAGCTTTGCGGCTTTGCATGTAGTCGCCTGCAAGCACCGGCAAGCAGCCGCCGCGCATTCTTCACGCAGAGCTGCGCAGCTGACCTGAGGTGCTTGGTGGGGCAAGACCACAAAATGCGGCTGGGTGAGTGCGAGGGCGACCAGAAGTTCTGGAAGTATCCCTTCAACGCGTGAGGAAAAGAGACGTGCCAATCACCAGAGTTGCCTTTTTAGCATTGCGCAGAGGCTTCATCCCTTCTTTCCACGATCTGACAATGTGCAATCGATGCTCCGTGTGTTGTGCGAGGCTGTTCCTGAAGCTAGGAACTAGGAAGTGCTGGCATTTTGGCTTCTTCCTAACAAGGCGTGTTGTTTACACGCTCATACGTGTGAATGCACATCCCGGGTATTCTGATTTGGGGAAACACCATCGTCTGACGATTTCCCACCGAGCCATTCATCCAAGTGCGCATGATCCGAAGTGTACAGAAGGTGAACTGGAAAAAAGCTCCCTCCTGTCAGTTGTTTGTATTGGCTTGGGTTTGCTTCATCTTCTTCATTCATGGCTCCAAGCGCATTTTTTGGGGCTTTTACCTGAAGCTTGTTGCCAGGGGTGTGAGCTATTTCTTCCTCCACACTTCCCCTTAAGCCATCACCCCTAGTGCAGCTCACCTTCATGGCCCAGCAGGTGATGGTTAAAACCACAAAAAGGAAATGAGGCGGTGTGTTTTTCAGGGACCCCTTCCGGCGGCGTTTCTTTGCTTTTTGAGGGGAAGCTCAAAAAGAAAAGAGAACACCGAGATCCATTTTTGGGGTTGCCAGGTGCAGGCGCCGGCATCTGCCCGGGAGCCCTCAGCGCGAGCGCGGCTGGGCGCGGGGCCTCAGTTCGGGAACAAGGCGCACCGGTGTTGAGGCTCGACATGGTTTGTGCTGTGTTGGGATGTGTTTGGTACCCTTCTTGGGGGTGGTCGAAACGGAAATCAACAGAAAACCACCCATTTTGGGCATCCCCTATTTTGAAAACCCCGTTCGTTGCTTGGTGTGCTCATTCCCAGTATGTTCCTGCGTGTTTGTTGATTCTCATGTATCCAAGCAGCAGGGCGAGAGTAGCTGTTATGTGTGGTGGCATGACTTTGATTTGGCAACTCAGACTTGAACTGATTGAATGGGCAATTGCGACTTGCTTAACTCATTGTTTGGGCAGCGCGGTCAATCTGTGCACAAGGCGCTTGTCTACGATGCATGAACAACTGATTGTTTCGTTTCAGAAAAACTTGTTTAGCTGCCAAAGAAGCTTGACTTGGGCCAAAGAAGATGCCTTCATATTGACCAACTGCCATGGTGATGGATCCCTTGTAAACTGTTCGATGGATTCTCAAGCACCGCTGTGTGTGGTTCCCTAAAACAGTTGCACCGCCTGGGTATTCTCAAAGGACTCTGTGGGGTGTGGCTTCCTCTTGACCCATTGCCCACGAGGCGATCTTCTTTTTGAGCCGCTGACTGCCGCGCCCCGGGCGCGGCTGCTCAGACGCCGTCCGCAATCGGGGCTTTTGATGGCTCCAGGCATCGTCAAATGGGCGATTCGTTCTTTGGAGGATACTCATGTGGGGGTGAATTTAAAGGGAACCAAGGGGAAACCACCCATTTTGTGGGTTTCTCCTATCTTGGCACAAGGTCGAATATACATAGTTATTGTTGCATTCCAACTGTTTGAAGTTATTGTATTCACACGACCCTCATACCCTCCAAGTTTGCAACCCTCAAGAAGCAAACTTGCTTTCTGGATCCCTCAGTGTTTGTTAGCAGAGCCAAGCTCACCGGCTTTGGGGCAGAAAGAGCAAACTTTGAGCCCTTGGGTTTCATGTTCGTTTCTTTGCAGATCTTGCAGTTTCATTGCCAGCCTTTCTGTGGCGTTGCTTTGTCCATGCTGTTCGCCTGCTTGGGACTCCAACCTTTCTGGCAGGCTGGGGTGGCTGCTTCAAATAATACGATGTAAATCTTCAAAACTGCACAGTGTTTGGTGCAAACGCGTTTTCCAGACGTTTCTCTTGGTTCGCCCAGGTGACTGATATCGCCCATTTAGCAGAGGAGCAGACTGGGAAGGGTGAAAGGGTCAGGGCAAGTAACTTGCGGTACGCAGATCTGTCCTGGAGATGAGAGTGGCAGGTTCCAGTTGTTGCCTGGGCAAGCCGTGAGAATGAACAAGAAGCTTGGGTAACTGATAGCCGCAGCATGATGTATGATAGCAGCATTTGGGGCTTTGGACATGGGACAAAGCAGTCGTTCCGCTTTCCAAGTTTGAACGCTTGGATCTATGTTCATGGTTTTGACCGGACCGGGGGCAAAATAGGGGTCTGGAAGATGAAAGCAAGTATCAGAAGATCTCATCTGTGCTTAATGTTGGTGGACGAGCACCGCCCCATTGCCCAAAAAGCCAAGGGAACCACCTAAGTTTGTCATACCCGGTTGCCGGGCAACCCAACCTTGGAGCTCCAGGTGAAAGCTCGACCGCTGCAGGAATTGCAGAAGGCACGCGCCGCCTCGGTCCACCAGACGCGCATGGAGGTCGGGTCACTCAGGATGGCTTCTGGCAGTCTAGCTGTAGCAGGCAAACCTACACCAAGCCATGGGTAAATCACGGGGCTCGCATGGTGCCTAGATGCAATTTCTGTTCTTTGTTCTCTGCACTGTATCCTTTTCTTCTAGATGATTGTCCGGACTCTCTGGGAGCATGGGTGGCTTGGGCAACAATGCTCCAGAGTATGACACACGCGAATCTGACCGCTTTGGGAAGAATCTGCAACGAGGGAAGTCGGCTGGGCAAGGTGAGACGGAATATATTTTGACTTGGGTTCTTGGCTGCCAATTGCCAATGCAGTAAGTCCTCCAGAATCAACCTTTTGGCTTGCTCCTGCTTGCTTTGAACAGGGGTCTAAGAAAGAGCCTTGATTTGGAGTATCCTCTTGCTTCAGCGTCCGCAGATTTGGGTTCGTCTCCCAAACAAAAGCTGGGTTTGCCGTTGGCTTTTCTTGGCACAGTGCCGGCCAGGGCACCGCATTATTTGGTTTCATCCATCCCAAATGGTGCAGGATTTCGTCCATCCACTGTTTTAGCAAGCTTGCAACAGTCGGAAGTTGGCACGTGCGCTAGAGATCAAGGGTTCAAGAGTCATTGAACAAGATCTTGAGGGTTGTCAGAATAGGGACTTTCCTGCTGATTTCCCTTGAAGCCACCTCAAGAAGACACGAACCCGTGTCGGAAGCGTCACCAGCCAACCTTTGGCTGCAAGTCCGAGAGGCAGGGTGCCCAAGCCACGAGCCGAAATATTCGGCCCTGTGTGTCGCGTGTTAGTTTGTGTGTTTGTTCATGTTGTTGTTGGGTTTTCAACCTTCATCCAAAAGCTTCGAGCTCCAGCAAAATACGAGTGAGCAAGCCACTACACACATGCACCATTCTACAAAGTACAAAGCCATTCAACACATACGGCACCAACCAATTCAAATGAAGCATTCACACTGGCAGTGAACAGTATTTGATGGTAAAGGAGAACAGGCACACACACACACACACACGCACACAAAGGCAGACTATATTCTAGCTGATGTATAAGCAACACACACCCGACATTCCATGAAACCGAAATGCCGTGAACCCCACCTGAATGTCACGTAGTAGCACTCGCACTCGGCCGAGCACTCTGTTGCAAGGTGCACCGAGCAGAGGCGCTTGGAGCTTTGGAATCCAAGGTGCGGAAATCGGGTTTTGGGATGGAAGGGCTCAGGGGTGGAAGGCTTTTTTCCCCCCAACAGCTGAAAGCTTTGGGGTCTCAGCCCAGATAGGCTCCGCGGTGGTCCGGGGCGGCCCTGAGGTAAGGTTCCACCAGGGTTCCAGCAGGGTTCCACCAGGGTTCCACGAGGTTCTGCGGGGTGGTGCGAGCACTAAAAAGAGCACCGCATGCTGTTGGGGATGTCACCCGAGCTTATTTGCTTTTCGATATACTGGGCTATGTGGCTTGGTCTTTCTCACAGTAGGAATCGGTCCCCTCAACATGATGTGGTTTCTTCGTGGTTTCCCTTTGGTTCCCCTCATTTTCAGGGGTTCCCCTATTTCAGAGACACCCAGGTATGGAAGCCAACGGATGCATGCAAACAGCCAAGGTAGCACATGCTGATTGGTAAGCGTAGGTATAGGCATGCGAGCTTTCCTGGCTCGGTGTATCATGTTCGGGGGATGTTCGGGGAGTTCCCCACACACAGGGCTCTTAGGGCCAGCATGCAAAGTATATATAAAATTTATGCACACAATACGCGATTGAGGCAATTGACGCTATGCATCTACATTGTACGTAGATACATCGTCACATCAGGGCAGACTTCAATCTATGCTGGCTTGCATTTAGGGAGCCCCAATCATCTTGCTCTCGGCTGCATTTGGCCAGGTGAGCGCTGTGACACTGCGCCTGGAAGACGCCTGTGCGCGCATCCACGAGGCCGAGCGGGCCGGCAGACTGTTTGACAGTTGTTCTGTGGCGGGGAGGCGCTTTTTCCGATCTTGGTGGAGAAGATAGCGTTTACAAGACTCCAAAAACGAATGTGATCTGCTAAAACTACCATGAGACCATCACGCTTTAGTCTTATTATGATGCAAACAGCTCATCATGTGTGGCCAAATTGAGGTGACTGCCTGACTGTCAGTGACTGGAGCATGGCCACGGCGTGTGCAGTGGAACAAATGAATATGCCACGTACGTTGCCGCACGCCGCCCCCCACTTCTCAATGGTCATGGGTCACACAAATAGCCGCTTCTCCATGGTCGGTTTCAGTCCTTGGTTGGACATCGTAGCAGGGGTGCCGGGGTGCTGGCCACTTTCTGGCCAGCGAAACTAGGAATCATGTATGACACTATCTATGGGAACGTGAATGATGTATTGGCCCCAAAGCTAGCAACACGAGTTGCTCTGATTTGTGTACTTTAGGTTTCCCTAATTGGTTGTAGTGTGAAACTAGAGTAATGTCCGCATGGCATATGGGTTTTACACGCAGACGTATGACAAGAACAGAATACCACACGTTGGTAGAACTCGTTGTTCATCGCAGCACTCCAAAGTCGAAGCCCTCCATTGCCAGGTTTGGATCAGGGACAAAAACTAGCCATGTTCCCCGTGTCAAGTTGACCATGCTTGGCCATGGTTGTTCATGTTTAGCCATTTGGGTGTGGCTCAAAATTAAACAGCTGGGGTTGCGCAGGTGTTGGTTTGTGTTTCCATCCGAGGGGCCCAAAACAGGGGTACCACTTTTTTGAGCCACCGCCATTTGTTCTATCCACTTCACTGCTTCAACTCAAATGGGTGTGGGTCATAACTAAACCACCAGGGGACCACAGGTTTTAGTCCTTGGTTCCATTTACCGGGGTTCCATTTGGGTACCCATTTTTCACACAGCCAAATCAGGCCAGGTAGTGTGAGCGCAGGCGGAGCTGGGCCTCGATGCTGCCAGCCGCGGCGGCCTGGCGCTGCGCTTGAGGCGCGTTTGGGAGAGCGGCGGCTGGCATGAATCTTTGGGATTTTTGGGACATGTGAATCGATCTTCATGTCCACCACTTTGGATGTGGTTCACTACTCAAATTCAGAGAATCATTCATGCTTGACAAGCACAATCGATTCATACCAGATGGGTCCGTAGATGCAGGCTTTGAGGTAGGCAACAAACCAGCGCCCCCTTGGTTGGTTTTAAAGGCATGAACAAGGACTGGGTTTGCATCCATGTCAGCCACTGGTAAGCAATGCAAATGTGAACTCCCCCTCGAGTTGTTCAAAAGGACAGGAGTAATTGCAAACATGGAATAAAGCTGAGCGGGTGAGGTGTTGGAATTAGCAACGTGGAAACGTGAGCGCCCGTTTGTGGGGGTTTAATGCGTGGTGGATTGTTCCACAATTGGTCCATCATGGGGAAGTCGTAACTCCTAGTATGGCAAGGGTTGAACAGACACCAGAAGGATTTCTGCACTGTTTCGAACCGTTCTGGAAGGATTGAACCATACCCACATGGACACGATCCAGAAGTCCATCATTTCGTGTTTCCGACGGGATGACACGAGGCTGTCACTTCTTGCATTTAGGTGGAGGTCGAAAGCCTCACACATCCATGTCAGGAAGATGGCAACGTGTGTTGTTCGGGGTCCCAGGTTTGGTCTGAGCATCACCTGGCCCTGGTGCTGCACCGCAGTCCATCAGGGGTACCCTGCATCATCATGCTTCCAAAAAGGAACGCAATGACTATTGCTGGCAGGGGCCTTCAGATATTCATGCTAGCAATTGTAAACTGTGCTTGCTGGATTCGTGGGATCCATTCAAGTTTGTCATGCCCAACCGGCAGGTTGGAGCAGCTGCAAAGTTCGGCCGGGGCCTAGGCAGCCATGCGGCTCGAGAGCTTGGGTTTGGAGAAATTTATTTTTGGGTTCGTCAGTTCATTTGGGGGGTGTTGGGGGATCTTTTTGGGTGCCATGTTAACTCATTTGGGGGAGGGCGGGATAGTTGCTGAGTGGCTCCATGTTAGAGTGTCATCGTGTTTCCGTGAGACATCGAAGATAGAATCTCTGCCTGAAGGCACGGTGTTGCTCGGTGAAGGGAAATTCTGATACGGTCGGGTGGCGAAAAGTTTGCCCTGGAAAATTATGTTCATTCTCAGTGGCGGGATGAGAAAGATGAAATAATATAAGAGAATCATTCTATGAGAAGTTAATTCCATTTAATTCCAGTCCGACAATAAATTCCTGTAAAGATAACTAGAATTATAATTTGTGCAAAGATTAATAAGATAGAACTATTAATAAGAAAATAACATGAATCTGATGTAACTTCTAAATGTAATGATGTCCAAAACAACATAATTCTAAAGAAGAAGTAAAGATAATTAGAACAGCGTCTTTATGGAAAGGTTTGAATAATTATTAGATTATATTATTTGCCTTTCCATATCTATTTCTATGTTATGATCTATTATGTTTCCAATCTTTTCATATCCTTCTTTACACCTCAAATCTTGATGAAGACGCCACTCGTGTGAATCTTACCGAACCCTGTCCAATACTGCACACGGCACAAAGCCAATTTTGCCCTAGTTCCACAACTTGGGGTCACGGGGATGAAATTAAGGCCTAGACAAACCCGTGCCAGAACCCAAAAGTCCACGGGTTTCAGGCGCTGCTTGTTTTGAAGACATACCCTCCGTCCCGGAGTGTGGACGTGCTTAGGTTGAGCTCCGCCTCACCTCCCTGGCGGGCGACCTGGCAGATGTCGTTTGCTCAGTGGGAGGTCCGACTTTGGCTGACATGTTGTGCCGGCTTTCGAGGTGTTCAAGCCCACTTTCCGAGGACATGGCATTGTCTTAAAGATTCAGAACTCGAATTGAAACACATTTGATGACATGAACTGCAGGTATGATGGCCTGTTGATGGATGCTTCCTTGTCGAGGAGCAGACTTCAGCAGCGCCCACAAGTCATCAAGGACGTGTTCAAAGTTTAGCTGTTCGCGGACTAGACTGGCGAGCGTTTGGCTGCGAAGAAACACGAAATGGCCTCGAGGGTTTGACACCCCTTCCATAGGCAGCAGACAGCAAGTTTTGACCGCTCTCTTGACGGCTAATTTCCTGGCCTGGCGCTTTGCCAAGCGCCCTCATGCCTCAGGTTACCCTTCGCCAACAAGCGATGGAGCGTGGACTGCCTCAGGCCCGAACAAGGTGAAAGGTGTGAAGTGGGGTGAAGCCGGATGAACAATCCCTTGAAAAGTTGTTCCGAAAGGTGGTGTTCATTCCGTCAGTTTTGAGACAGAGGTGGCCCCTGCAAGAAGCAGAGCCACGCTTGAATGATTTCAGACATCTATTACCTATTCAGAGCAGCACATGGTCCGGCCAATGGATCAGCCCGTAAGTTTGTCTAAGTTGTGGTGCTCCAGATTGGGCTGCCTTCTGTTGGCAGCTCAGCGCGGTGAGAGTCCGCTGGCTGCTCCTCCAGCTCGTCTTTGCTGCAGGCCCGCGATAGATCTGCACAGCTGGCACGCCCAAGCCATGCCGCCGAAGAGGACAGCCGGGCAATCTTTACCGGCATGACACAGGTTCGTGGTTCGCCACCTCACCCATGATTGATAAGACCTGCCTAGCTTCTTTTGGTGCAGGCCGTCTGTTTGTCACACCATGTGCTTGTTGAGCTCATGAAGCTGCGAAGCTGCCTTGCCTAGTTTGCTTTGAGGGTGCTACATACATATTGAGTAGTATTCAGCACGTGTGCAAGGAAAGCAACCGCTTTAAAAGCATGTGGCTTTGCCTCGTCCAAGAATGGCTCACATGAAGCGCACAAGTCTGTCAGACTTCCGGACAGGGAACCAAGGACAAACACTATGGGTCTCTTGAAGGGGCGTTCACATGCTAATGTACAATGCTCCCAACTCTTCGAGAAGAACATGTTCAAGATATGACCTGCGGTTTTGACCAGGTCAGCGTGAGATCCAATGTGAGTTCATGTCTTGAACCAGGTTGTGTGCTTGGAGTGCAAGCCCAGATCTGTTTCGGCATCCAAGAGTTCACTGATAATCAAGCAATGGAAGTGGCCAATTGTCAGCTGCGCAGGACTTGTGGGAGCGATTTCGACGCAAAGCACCGTGATCACGCCTACTTCAGTGCTGGCCTGGTGAAGGCGTCGATTGTGGCAAGTTGGAACCTGACCAACACATACTGCATTTACCATACTTTGAGCTTGGCTACCCGCTACATCTTGAGCAAAGACGCCCTCATGACCAGTGCCAGTGCTTTAAGAGGTGTTGTAGGATGGTCGTATTGTGTTGATCTGAAGAAGCTGCACTCACATTCCTCAGGGAGTATGTGTCCGCTTCCAATACCTCGTCCAGTCCAGAATGGATGTGGGGGCAGATGTAGTATGCTAATGTTAGGTGAAGTGATGATCAAGAAGAGAAAAAATCAACGGATGAAGGGATGGATTCGATATGCCTGAATGAAAGCCTGAAAACACCTAAGTAAATGTCTAAGTGATTAGGATTTTTTCTCGGATGAAGGATTTTAGCATCGGGAGAAACTCCCAAAAGGTTCGCGAAAGCACTGGTGTGACACATTGTGCCGCAAAACTGATGCAGGCAAAGCCGAAGCCTCGTGGCTACAGTGTTCTATGGGATTTCATGATAGTAGCATACCAAAGGTTGATGTTTAGACGGGGTTCTCTCGTTTTCGTTTGGGTTCATGAAGGTTTGCACAAAGCGCGCTTCGCGGGATGGCTTACTAATTTGTGTTGCTATCCTTTTGAAACTGTTTTTCTAGAATGGGAGGGGTCGCTATCCGTATATACATATATATATATATACTAGAGAAAACCCGTTATTTCCAATAACGGCCCATAAGCCGATATGCAGAAAGCGAACCTCAAAAGGGAGAAATGCGATACGCAACGGCGCAGAAGCATGGCAAGTCTAGGTAGATAATTTCGAGGGTTACATTGCGCAATCGAGCATATATGCTGGGGCTTGGCTTGCAAACAGAAAATTTAGGCAATGTATGCGGGTCAACAACAAAAATCCTGAAACACACAACTGGAAGCATAATTTGGGGCGCCGGCAATCGGCGCGGAACCGATGCAAAAATAACGGAAAATCAGGTGCAACCACGATATTGGAAAAGAAATACCTCAGACGAACCTGGTTGCTTTACAGATACTTCACAAGACAGCGTAGAAAGGCCCCCCAAAAGAAAACTGCACCATAGCAACCCCACAAATTTCACTCGAGAAAGGGAAACCTAAAAGGCAGGATACCGCAAAGTGGTCCTCCTAATATGTCATAAAGTGGTTTCCCCTAATGTACCCTCTAAAAAAAAGAAGGGATTTGTATCGAATACCATTCAAGTACGCATGGAGCTCAACACACAATTTCCGTTCAGCGAAAAAGGGAAGTACTTGTTGACCATGCAAAGTGGGGCACTAACGAAGCGAGCCAGGGACAAGGTGCAAGAAGCGGACCGAAGTGTGAAACGACACGAACGAAAAATGGAGAAAGGAGCGAAGCTGCCAATCAAGCACGCAGGGGCGGGCGTGCCCAATGGAAGAGTCGAAGCAAGGAGGGGGGGCGGCTATTTCCTTGGTTTTGCGGCCGGGCAGACCCCCGGAGCCCCCTCAGTCTAGTCCTACTAACACAAGGACAAACTCAAGCTAGCCTCCTTAAGGCTACCTTTGGTAATTATGAGCTTTTGAAGGGTTTCCATATGAGAGTTGATCTAAGGTCCTTGCTTTACAATATGAAGGGGACGACCATTTGGTACCATCCATGATCCCCCGCGAAAGCTCCGCGATGGACTTCGCGAAAGTAAAAAAAAAATCGCGAAAGTTTTCGTGCATTACGTGAATCACTGGTCTTATAGGACCTCGGACATATGGAATTGGGTATGTGGTTTTCATGCGAGCGGACTTGCTGACGTTGTACCATTTGAACGCAGCATTTGGCTCCAATGAAGGCGTCGCAAATCGCCAGATTGTCGCAGCTGCAGCTGACAGCGGAGGCTGCAAAACATGGTTTGGTGGTTGACCCCAACGTGCTGGACCTTGAACTGCGGGCGATGGTGGCACGCCTCATTTGCGGAGGTGATCAGGCTGGCCTCTTTATCATTCAGTGGAAGTGTCATTTCAAATTGTTCATTGGGTGGTCCTTCCTAAGATCTACTAGCCAAGCATGCTGATTGAGCAACACGTCTCGCAATCCCGCAGATATGCTTGTGCAAGTGCCGGCCGTCCAGCGGAGACAGCGCCAAGGACGCATCCCGCGGGCCGGTTTTTGGGGCCGGGTGTTTATTCCGAGTGGGTTGTTGTGAGTGGGGTTGTTGTTGAGCGATGGCCGCAGGGTGGGTGGGAAAGCTGGCTGGGTGTGCAATGTTTACATCCCGCAAACACACCGTGATCTAGAATGGCCGTTCCAGGAACAAGGAATTTAGATCAACGGCCATATCACTATGGGGCTTGCACAGACGCAGTTCGGCATTTCTCTTTACCTCGAACCCCAGCGCGATCAGCGCGGCTCTTAAAACAAAAGCTGAAATTATAACCATGTCCAGCAGATCAACCCCAAACAAGCCTACTTCAAGCCGGGCCAATACGACGGCCAATCAAAACCAAATACCACAACAACGTCCCATATGTTTAAATATATATTGAAAAAACCACGGAAAAAAAGCATACACACATAAATCTACATCAAAGTCCGACCAACGCGACTATCGCTAAGAGCCAAACCACTTAAACAATCCAATATAAAGAAGACTTTAGACAAAATAAACCAATAAATCCACGAACACCAACCAACACAACAAACAATAAACAGACAAATATTACGAAACAGTAAAAACGAAGACTAAAAAGCAAATACCAATATTAAACAAAGGCAAACGAAGACAAACAACAGCCAAAATCGAACGATCGAGAACAAAAGACATTTAAAAACAGAACAACTACAAACAGAAACAAAGAGAGACAGAGAGTAATAGAGAGAACAAAAAGAGACCGCAGACCTGGATTGGGTTTGCCTAAGTTTGCTTTCTACAAATGGCCCGAGCGGCCAAAGGTGCAGGACACATAAAGAGAGACAGAGAAAGACAGAGAGAGCCAGAGATAAAGAAAGACAAAAAAATAGACACAGAGACACAGCCACACGGAGACTGACAGAGACTGACGGAGATTGGCAGAGACACTTGACAGAGACTGATAGAGAGACTAACATTGACTGACAGAGAGACTGACAGAGACAGAGAGACTAACAGAGACTGACAGAGAGACTGACAGAGACCGACAGACAAACAAAAATAGACTGACAGAGACTGACAGGGACTGACAAAGAGACAGAGAGCAAGAGAGAAACAGAGACAGAGAGACAGAAAAAGACAGAGAGACAGAGAGACAGAGAGAGAGAGAGAGAGAGAGAGAGAGAGAGAGAGAGAAAGACAATGAGACGGAGGGGCAGAGAAACAGACAGAAAGAGAGAAGGAGAGACAGAGAGAAAGAGAGAAAATAGAAAGAAAGAAACAGAGAAAGAGGGAAAGAGAAAGAGAGGAACACAATTTTCGAATTTCGATTCGGACAGGTCGCCAAATTTCCTGGACATTTGTCTCGCTAATCTTTTCGGAAAGCCGAAGAAATTGGCGGGGGTTTCGTCTGGGGTTCGAAGAGTCGGGTCGCCGGAAGCGACCCAAAATTTGGGAAGACTCGCTTCGCAACTGGAGAAAAGATTTTGAAGCAAAACCGCAAGCCCGAGCTGGTGATGCAGAGGTGCCGGATTTAGGCAACGCATCACGACCAAGTGACGAGGGTCCGCGGCGCCCGGGTGCAGCCCCTATAGCTAAAGCTAGCAGGCTAATTGCCTAGCGGCGACATGCTACCCCAGGAGGCGTAGCCGGATTTAAGGGCTACCGCCCTGTGCCGCCGAGCCCTTGGGCTCGCGCTTGAATGTAGTGCCCTAAAAGAAACAACAAGCATCAACAAACATCTGAAAGGCCTAGCAGTTCACACAACGCCTAGCTGCCATGATTTTGATTGTTTCCCGGGATGCTCAAAGTCAGCAAGCGAGAGAGAGAGAGAGAGAGAGAGAGAGAGAGAGAGAGAGAGAGAGAGAGAGCTGTAAGGGGTGTGAGCCATGGTCTGGACTGCGGCGCACAAGGGAGCTGTGTGTGCAGCGCTGCGGACCGCCCGAGCGCGCGGTTAAGTAACTGTCGCCCGGCTGCCCAGGCAAATCCAGGTTTTTATCCGGGGTCAACATTGGTGTGGTTTATCCTTGAGCTTCACTTTCATATCCCCCGAACTCTCGAAAAAGCCGATGTGTAGGCCGTGTCGTTCGCAAGCGAAAAACAAGACACACTCATGAATCTTGGAAGAAACCATTGCCATGGCTGAATCCCTTGGAATGGCTGCTGCGCCGTCATGGGAAGATGAGAGAGCTCCCCAGCATCCCTAGCAGTGATGATGATAACCATCACTACGCATCCCCGGCATCTCTGGCAGCGATGATGACAAGCATCACTACGCATCCCCAGCATCTCCAGCAACGATCATCATGATGATGGCAATCATCGTCACGCATCCCCGGCATCTCCAGCTATAGAAAAGATAGAAAAGACTTGAGAAGACGAATCATGACGACGATCACGAGGGTGGATGATCATCATAGTCATATCCCTTTCTTTCTTTAGTGTTCATGATTATCATCAGTATCATCACGATCATCATCATCCCTTATTCGACAGTCTTGGTAGAACGATGATAGTCATCATGACTTGAAATGTCCTCCCCATGAATGATGGACGCTTCATGATAGTTATCCTTGCGTTCGAAATGTCCTCCCGGTGAATGCTGGAGGACGCTTGATCATAATCCTTACAGTCGAAATCGAAATCTCCTCTCCATGAATGCTGCAGGACAGTGATCGTCATTCTTGGTATCATCGTCATCATCGTCACCTATCTTCGCTATCATCGTTAGACGTCAACTGTGCGGCCTGCCATCTTGGTAGAACGATGATAGTCGTCATGACTCGAAATGTCCTTCCCATGAATGATGGACGCTTCATGACAGTTATCCTTGCGTTCGAAATGTCCTCCCGGTGAATGCTGGAGGACGCTTGATGATAGTTATCCTTACAGTCGAAACCGAAATATCCTCTCCATG